CCATGGTGGGTGGATTCATGCATATGCGATCAAAATGTTCTAGCCTCCCTCCCCAATGCCGTCACAACCCCCACCAAAGCCACCCACTGCAAAGCACCCCTCACGCAAAAGCACCCACCGCCGCCATCAACCCAGCCCCACCCACTACCGCCAAAAACGCGCTCACCCTCCGCCGGCCCTTCAGCACCCCGTAGCTCTTCTCGCTCAAAAAGTCCTCCGCCAGTAGCTGCACCAGCCCGGCAAACAGCAGCAAGCCGCTCGAGATGGCGTTCATGAAGCCGACCATCAGCAGGCCGGCCTGGCTCATGGGGTCGTAGAAGCGGTGGATGAACAGGCCGATGGCTTGGCCGATGGGCGTGGTCGCGCCGAAGGCGAGCACCATCAGCCAGGGGCGTGGTGAAGAGCGGGGGAAGTGGAGGGCGGCAATGCGGGTGCCGAGCGCGAGGCCTTCGAAGGATTCTGGGGGGTGTGTTAGCAACTGTTTATGGTGGTTAAGGAGGGGTGAGGGCAACGTACGGTGGAAGGAGATGGCGATGAGGAACACGGCAAAAGTCGGGCCGGTGGCCACGGACAGCGCCATGCCGATGAAGACGCTGTGGAAGAGGATGCCTGCCTCGAGGAGGACGCACTGCAGCATCATGCGCTTTTGCTCCTCGGGGGTGGGAATGTGCTGCAGCGGGGGAAGCTCTGGCTCCGGCTTGGGTTGGTGGTCGGGGTTCGGGCTTGGGCTCAACTCCTCAAAGCTGAGTTCCAGGTCCAGGGACTCCCGGTTGTCGTCCTGTGTGCTGTCCCGTTGGGGTTTGAGCAACCCTTCCCGAGGTGGCGCCATGGTGGGCGTTGAGCCGGGGAGAGGGGAAGCTCCCGCCACCAAACCCTCTGTCGCTTCCAGATCGTCCAGTGCAATGCTTGAGGGCCGATCGCGGCGCGCGTGTCGCGAAGAAAATTCCCCCTCTTGTGTGCGCCCACCCACATTTTCGTCGCCGTCGTCGCTATCGACCTCCTCCCAGGCGTGGTGTGAGTGCGAGTGACTGGCACCCCGGGTCGTCAAGTACGATTCTAGCGCCACCACGACGAATGCCGACACCATGGCAATCAACCCCGCCAACGGCCGGTATCCCTTGCTGAAAGCGTGCGGAAGACATGGGTCGGTCAGGGAGGTGAACGCGGTCGGGAGAAGATGGACAAAGGCGGTGGCCATCAGAACGCCGGTCCCGAAATGCTGGCAAAGGAATATAATGTTGCGTTGACGTTTGCTGCCCTTCGACAGGCGCTGGGAGAACAGGGGGAACCCGCATGCTGTTGGGGATATCACGGTCAGCGTTGGGAACCCGGGGAAACCCGCAGCCAGGTCTTGGACATACACAGAGTGCTCAGGGCGAGGATGAGGAACAAGGCAAACACGTGGATGCCTGTGTCGTAGGACCCCTTCTTCCCCGAACCGCATGCCGGTCGTTCGTTGGCGTCATCGCGTCTCGCGAGTTCTGCAAGGAGCAGGTCGGTGGGTATCGAAGACCATCGGGGATCTGTCGGGGAAGTGGATGTTTGTTAGCAAGCAAGACTAGCTTCCACGGTAAATGCCATCAACTGACCATCTGCCCGCAAACCGAGCTTCTCCATTCTCTACTTCGTACGAAGTACTTCGTCCTCCGGCTCGGAATCTAACTCGCTTGCAAACCCTAAAATTATCTTTGACGATCACTGCATCGTGGCGTTGGATACAATACTAGCGGCGCGGTGGCTCTTTGAGACACCAACATGCGCCGTGATGACTTTGCCGTCGATTGGAGCTCGGTAGACTCTTCGGTTGGAATGGAACTCTCGGATGTTTCGAGGTGCCATCCCGTGCCTGCCGAGGAGTCGAGACCCACCACTCCTAAGTGTCCCTGGGAATGGTGGGGGCCCCCTAATTTTAGGTGACGTCGTCCCAACCTGGAACTGGCATTGATTTTGGTCGATCTTTTTTGCAAAGTAAACTTCCAATTTTTGGGAAGAGTGTCTTGAACGGTCGCGATGAGGTAAATCTCTCCGAGTTCATACATGCAGGGAGGGAGTTCCCCTGCCTTCGTCCATGCTTGTTTTTACTTTATTTTATTTCATTTAATTTAGATCTCGGCCCCCGAACACTCACGCGGCGGAAATATGTACAGATTACAGCTCTCCAAAATGCTCCCCATTCAATTTGCCTTCCGAAGTAAGCTTATTTCCAGTCTGACCCGATCCGATCCCGATCCCATCATACGCGGTTAGCTCATGCCTTGGGAACAGCCGTCCCCCATGGGAAGGCGGTCGTCACAGGCGACCCGTAGGATCCCAAATTGTTATAGTCCTTGCTCGTCGGTGTACCAAAGAAGATCTTTTGCACATACGGCAGGATGGATGTGCTAGACAAAGTCTCGAGTCAGTGTTCTCGTCCTTTTTTTTTCTCTCATCACCGTCACGCCAGCACCTTGATGTCCCCTCCAAGTCAAGTGTCTCACTTACAATCCGCTCATATCACAATGCCCGCCCCCACGCACGCTGATGGCGATCTTGTCACCCGCACCCAGCCAGTCGTACACCACTTTCGCCGCCGGGTAGATGACGACGGCGGTGCCCTTGCTGTTGACAAACTGGTCACCCGTCCCTTGGTCAATGACTAGCGCCCTCGGCGCGATGGCCGCCGCGATGGTGTGCGCGTCGTACGGCAGGTTCTCGGAGTGGTTGATAAACGCCCCTAGCTTGCTGCTGGTCCACCACCCGGCCCCCTGCTTGCTGTTCTCGAGGTTCTCGCCCTGCCCGCTCATGCTGTAGTACCGGTACGGGCCCATGCCCTGCACCCCCGACGACATGGGCATCGTGAGCGTGATGCGGGTGTCGAAGAGCCCCGCCGCGAGCGCCGCTTTTCCTAGCCTGGAACACCCCGTCACGCCCACCCGCCCGGCGTCGATCTCGAGCACCGTCATGTTAATAGCGTCGAGCGTGCGGTGGAAGCCCCACGCCCAGGCCGTCAACACACCTGCGGCGGTCAATTAGCCTCCTGCTGCGCGGTATATGCCTCAGGGGGGAAATAAGGGACCAGCGGAACCCACCGATGTCTCTCCCGTTGTAGATGCTCCAGAACGCCCCCGTCTTCGCATTGCTATCGGGCGCCACCGAGGTGTAATCAAACTGCGCGACGGCAATGCCCGCACTCAGATAAGCCTGGTTCTGCATGCCACCGATGTTGATGACCACGGGGGCGGGCTTAGACGCGGACGCCCCCGACGGCAGCGTGACGGTCGCGCTGAACCGGCCCGTCTTGCCGCCGGCCGCCACGGTGATGCTCAGCGTGTTGCCGCTGCGCGTGGCCTGCACCGTCTCCTGGCCGTGGTCCGGGTAGTAGCCGTACTGGTACTCCTGCAGCATGTGCAGGATCTCGGGCTGCCGGCACTGGTACCACTCCTCGGGCGTCTTCACCCGGCCCTCGCCGCGGCCCGCCACCACGTCCGCCGCATCGCCGGGCGTGGTGTATTGCAGTGGCAGGAAAGGATCGGGCAGAGACGACTGCAGCGGGAGCTGCTGCCAGGTCGGGAACGGCGAGGGGGTGGGGGGGCATTGGATTGTGTTGTTGCCGCCGCCCTGCCGGGGGATCAGGGGGTGGGCGTCGGCGCCGGCGCTGCCGATCGCTGCCGCGGCGAGCGTGTGTAGAAGGGAACGCATTGTTTCCGTCGACGATCTGTCTAGGCGGCTTTGTTTGCTCAAGGCAAAGAACCACGGCGAGGGCCTGTCGGGGTATATCACCACCGAGGCCCGGGGGCCATTCGCCCGAGTGAGGCCGTCAATCGCTAGAATAACCCCCGAGATGTTCGCATCCCGTCGCCCGGGCCTGTTGGGGATTGGGCTTCAGTGTTATATCGTGTGGGGTGGCATGCCATTAAGCGTATTAGCCATATTGGATCCGCTCTCAGACAATTGCCGGACCAGAGCACCAGAAGTCTTGGACAGAATAGTGCACTAAGGCTGTGAGTATTTACAAGGACTAACAGTGTTTCTGTCGGACAACCGCCTACGAAGGGATTGGAAGTGTAAATGAGGGTAGCTCCTTCGGTCATGGTGGTCCCGAGTCTCTCCTTTTCAGCGACAAGTGCCATGAAAAAGTGAACCGCGCCACCCGCTCATAGGTCACATCAATAGAACTGCTTCAAGATAAAGCAACACGAAAGGTGGTCATCCACCAGGTCTAGGTCGCTTAATCTCTTTAAGCTTCTACGGAGTGATGCGGCCTCGGGCCAGAGAGAGTTTTCCATTTATAACGGGCACGAATGATGTTGAAACACGGCCTCACCAGAGCGCTGTCAATTTCCACCGGGACGCGGATACGAGTAGGGCAAGACCTGGTGCTCGGCACCGGCCCTTATAGAACGGCCATCACGGCGGCATATTGCGCCAGCGCCAGCGGCAAGATAATGCGGTGGTCTTCCAAGGCTTAAGTGCGGGACGCAGAAAGAGCTCCCGAGAGTGATATGTAGGATTGGGCAATGATTTTATCAGGGCCATCTAGCCTCAAACCACTATCTAGCATTCGCTTTTGCTCCGAAGGGGTTACGTACAAGTGGAGGCGACTACGCCAAGCCCGATCTCCAACGACGTCTAACTTCGTTGTAGTATTTGTTTACATCTATAAAGACCCGTAGTAGAAGCTTGAAAGGCATTTAGCAGGTCCTTGACTGGAACGAGTGTTACGGGTCAGCCTTAGTGTCAAACCGAACGCAACGCAAATTACGGAAGATTGGGTCAAAGTTGATTCTAAGCTCTCATGTTCTTTCTACTGTACCGGGGCGGAAGAAGCGTGTCTGGTTTAACAGCAAAACTAGGTGACTGTTTTCCCCGGTGCTTTCAAACATTCTGGGGATCGGTATCTCGGCAATACTGAATTTTATCAATCAAGGCACTAAGCTTCAATTGCTATTCGGTTGCCTACCAACCACGTGGTGGATTTCTGGTTATTATTGCTATCTCTCTCTCTTTGGACCTCACCTGGCATTAACTCGTGACTGAAAACAAGTACACCTACCAGCGTGAGATGAGGTATGTGGCGATCCCAGCATTTTTGACAACTCGACAGGGCACTCGGTCTGCTGGCCGAGGCGTCCCTCGCAGCTGGAGAAATAGAAAATTATAGTCCAGGGGTGTTTGATATAACTTCACCCGGCAGGAGATATGATCCTCGCCGGGGGTGTTGCTGTGGGGCTTGGACAGGACAGCACCCAACTTTTGGAACTGACACACGACGGAAGTGCTCACAGCCCCATTTAGCAGGAAGTGGGTGGGCTTCTGTTGTTCATTTAATAGTTGTTTTGGGTGACCTTGTCTCAGGCACACTGCTCCGTGCAACTTTGTTCCCACAGCCTGGGCTGCTCTGGTCTCCAGGCTGCTCCTCTCCGGTGGCTCCATTCATGGATTGTTTCCAGCACGTCCGACAGGGGCAGTCAACAAGTTGGCCCGGATCTGCGCACCCCAAACTTGGGGCTGGGTTGGAACTTGAAGTTTGCCAAGGCGTGGTTCAACAACTCAAGCATTGAACCAGCAGGACCAACAACCGCGAGAGGCTGGGGGGAGCGTTCTGGACTCGGGCGTTGGGCGTCGCCTGAGCAGGGTTCAGTGGATTGTTTGCGACAAGCTGCCAAAAGCATCAGTGTGATGTGATGTTTTGGGGTCAATGTCTCATAGGGAGTGCCTCGTGCTCTCGAGAGCGCCCGCATGCCGCCACGGACCAATACCGGCCCTACTCTGAGGACAAGATGGGTGTGTAAGCTGCACTTATGCGTCGATTCGGAGCCACGGAGCAGTACTACAGGAGGACTATTGCCATTACTTTCTTTTTTCCCCATTGCATTTGCGGGGTAGTAGTCAAAATCGGAGGATGCAAGAGACTGATCGGAAACTCCAAATCGGACAGAAGCAGGATGGGAAAGACTCGGCACGAAAAGAGGTGCGTGGCTGCTGCACAGGGTGACAGGGTCGGGGTTTGGCGAGTCTGGTCACATTCAGTGCAACTGTGGCTTGTAAAATCCGACAGGACTTGTCAGCCGGTTTGTTGGTTTGCTCCGACTTGTTCAGCTCCCTCGAATCAGCCATTCGCCAGCCATCGCCGATTCCACATTCCCGGGGCGGTTGGATTGCCCTCAGCATGCCATCATCCCCTGACTTGAATCTGACCCCTATCTCGCCAGTTCCCCTCCAGCTCTCCGACTAGGTCACCGAGGGGGCCGTTTCTAGGGTTAGAAACGTTAAAGTTCATGTTTCACACAACGCCCGCCTAACCGGAGACGCTAGGTATGCCGGTCATTGGGAAAAGAAAGGATGGGTAAAAAGAAAGGGGAAAGCCTGGGGAACTGGGGAAAGACCGAGGACTCGGAAGCGGGCGCTCAGGCGAGGCCGATCATGGAAAAAAAAAAAACTCTTTCTTTTTTTCGCCAACAAGGTTTCCCGACTCCGCCGATTGATCCTCGTCCATCGGATTGCCAAGAGACCTTGCCCGCCTCGAGCCCGCCCAGTGCCGCCCTTGCCATCCCTGGCTGGACAGCTTGGCAAGAGCTTGGCTGATGATGAGCCGACTGCGTCTTGCCCATGGTCATGACGGGCAGCTGACGGGGGAGGTTCATGTCCCAATGGCATGCCAGGCCCCATGGATAGGTAAGGTTGCTATCGATCCCCCCTCCAGCTTCGGTAATCCTCGCAAGCGACCCAAACAACAGGAAGCGTCAGTCAGACTTGGCCGTGGGGTCATGACGGTGACCTTAAACTCGATACAGCAGCTTGATAAGTGCCAAACACACCATTGCCGATCTCTCATCTTGTCTACCGTTGAAACAGGGCTCGGAAGCTCCGTTCGGGGACGTCTTGTGGCTCTCTGAACCCCCAAGACCCCTTCTGTCCCCAGCTCGGCTCCTCCAGCACCCGTCGGCACTCGGAGCACGGGTGTGCTACGGAAACATTGCGGGTGTGCGGGTCCCCACCCCCGGTAGCTCCCACGCAATATGGGGATCGGCACAAGCTGCAGTCCAAGCATGCTCGGCATGGCAGGACAGGGGCAAGCTTATTCGTCCGTTCACTGCCAGTCTCCCTGCGTGTGTGACTGCATCTCAGATGCAGCTTTGAGGCACCAAACCTGCGCTTTAGCAGGTTTTACAAGATGAGGGTCGACTTGTCGAGAAAGATGACCCGACGAAGCAACTATGCCTTGTGCTGGCACCCGAGAAATAAAGAAAGCGAGCTCAGACGCCTCGGAGCCTCGTCCTCGGTGGGATTCTCTTCAAGCAGCCAATCGACGCTAATCTCGCTCTCAAAGTGTGGGCTGCCGACAGATCTCGGAGACACCAAACATGATCCCAGCACGTGGGATTCACACCCATCTTATCCGGTCAGTGGGGGGCCCTGCGAGTGCAAACCTCATGATCGACCAGGCACCAAGCCATGTCCAGAGGATTGGGGATGTGTATGTATGCAGTTAGTTATTCGTTTGTAGTGTACCTTCGTACCCAAAGGCTTCATACCCAGAGTCTCAGACTTCGGCCCGTTCACCCTCCCCCTCCCCCCTTCCCCACATGCCTGCGATTCAAGAGAATCACATCTGGATCAGAGCGCTCAGAAACAACCGAAGGACCATGGAGGGCATGTTGGCCGCATCATTGGCCGCCACACCATCCTGCCTTATGTCCTAACCGATTCTGATGAGAGCAAGCAGCTAGTTGGTGTTGACTACGAGGTTACAGAGTTAGAAGTTCAGAACCGGCAGAACCGAGACTCAGGGGTTTGAAAGCTTGCCAATGTTGCCTGGTTCCCATGTCCGGCAGCCCCATCGGTGTCCCAGGGACTGGGGTCTGGGGAGTTGACAGTCGTGGGGCCATCGAGCCCAAACCCACACCGGATCGGCGTTCCTGCAGCCCTTTCAAGCAGTCACGGATCGAGAGTGCGACCACACGGTGCATCCACGATGTCACCATTACCATGGATCCAGCACTTGGTTTCCGCCCTTGCGTGCGGCCGGGATCCCAGCTTGGCAGCCACGCTCCTATGGTAGGCGTCTTTCGGCGCCGACCCATCATCTCCGCCCATGTGCTCAAGCCCAGCTCGCCTGGAAGTGCGTGCATTACATACATACATCCATACATGGGTGGATGCCCTTGTTGCAGCGTGTGGCCCACGATGCCACACCACGTACATATTCCTCGCCCACCCCCCCGTCTGGGTTCCCAAGCCATCCCGTCTCTTTCCACGCTCGCGGTTTCAGTCACCCAGTGTTGAAGGAACGCAGTCATCCCCGAGCCATGATCTTGCCACGCGACGCCGGGACGCCTGCCACGGCGGGGTCCGAGTTCGGGACCACGCCCGACACGAAACCCGTGGCCCGGCTCGACGCTGTCGGCATCTGGTGGATTACCTTCGGCGCCATCTGGACGGCTCTACTCGTCTGCGGCATGACATTCCTTTACAAAAAACGCAACACGCCGACGCTGAGACTGCGCGGACTCTCGTTAACTTTCGCCGGCATCATCCTCCTTCACTTCTACTGGATCTCCGTCCAGATCGGCTACAGCGTCGGTCCACTCGCTCCCGAGGTCGCCGAGTTCTGGATCATGAGCATCTGGTATCCCTTTGGAATCGCCCTCTTCCAGGCTGGCAACAGCCAGTTCCTCCATGTCGCTAAGGCCCAGAGCCGCTTCGCCCGGCCTCCCAGTCAGATGAAGACTCGCTTCGACGAGAAACGCCCGGCGGGGAAGCCGACTCTGCTCCAGCGCCTACGTCAGATGGACTATTCGAAGCGCATGTTCATGTTTGTTACGATGGGCATGGCAGTGCAGGTGGACCGCCCTCTTCCCTTTCCTCCGGTTCACACCAGCCTCTCTTGGTATTGAGTCTAACGGCGGATTTACTAGCTCCTCGTGGTCATCATCATCTACATGATATCGCGCAAAATTCCATTCCGACTTCCGGTATTCCCCGGAACCGAAGTGTACGGCAGCTCCGCCATGGAGATTGCCATGTAACAGGGCCAGAGTTGAGAATGGTACGTGCTCACCACTAGTCATGGACTAGGTTCCCCCCACGCCGACTCAGACAATACTAACGCCCTCCAAGATAGCCCTCGATCGTCTAGCAGTTCGTCTGAGCCTGGATCGTGGCGCCCATCATTCTCTGGCAGTCTCAGAATATCCACGACACCCATAGCTGACAGCTCCAGACCATGGCCTGCTGCATTGCTGAGTAGGTCTACGCCGTTGTTGATTAGTGAACCACTTACACTAACCCCCCCTGAATAGCCTTCCGGCAGCGCCCATGTGGTTGATCGCTCTCTATGTCCCTGGCATGGCGCCAGTGAATCAATACTTTGTACCGCCGCAATGGTATGCCTCTGCCCCTGATTCGGGCCCCTATTCACCCAGGTAGCTAACCGTAATAGGATCGCCCTCTCGATCTTCGTCATCGAGATCTGCACTGTTTTCGTCCCCTGCTGGCAGGTTCGGAAGCACCAGACCCTCCGCCAGGAGACGCTCGAGTCCATCGCCAACTGGGAGTCCAAGAAGCGGGGCGAGGGCAAGACGGAGACGTCGAGCGACAAGAGCTCCTCGGGCCCAATGAGCACGACCTCGACCAAGGTCGGCGACTACTCGGGCTTCGACTCCTGGAAGAAGCTGTCGAGCTTGGAGAATGGGACCAACCAGGCCAACCAGACCGGTAACCCCGACGAGAGCGTGCTGACCATGGCCGCACTCGAGCATGTCCTCGACAAGAACTGGAGCCGCTCCGCCAATTCTCCGCCGCGCGACTTACGGCGAGAACATCGCTTCTAACGTCCGTGTTCGGAGTTGGAAGCTCGCCCTTCTGTCGACTTCATCGCAGCCAGTTACGACGCCAGCCCAGAGACGTCCGGGAACAATTCACGCGAGCGCTGCGCATCTACACCGAGTTCATCTCCCCCCGCGACGCCGAGTTCCCCATCAACATCGCGTGGGCCGACCTCCGCAAGCTGCAGGGTGTCTTCGAGCGCGCGGCGCGCAGCACCGCCGCCGCCAACGGCTCCTCCTCCGCCAACGACGCCGTCACCCCCTTCGCCGACGCCAACATGAACAACCCCATCACCTCCCCACCGCGCGCCGCGCAGAACCAACCCCCCCCCTCGCGCGACTCCCAAATCCACATCCTCCAACCCGACGACGCCACCCACCAAGCACCCCCCACACCCACTTCCACCACCACCACCACCACCAAAAACCGCACCTCGCACATCCCCCTGACCGTCAAGATCCTCGAGCCGCCCTCCCCGCACGCCGCCCCCGCCTCGGCCCTGCCCCTCTACGCGGGCGACATCCCACCGGCCTTTGACGCGTCCGTCTTCGACGCGGCGCACGCCAGCATCAAGTACCTGGTGCTGACCAACACGTGGCCCAAGTACGTGCGCGAGCGGCGCAACTCGGAGAGCAGCAGCAGCGGGGCCAGCAGCGTGGTTGGTGACAGCCACAGCCACAGCAACAGGATGAGCAGTGCCCTGAGCAGCAGTGGGCGGTCGGAGACGGTGCGCGGGGGTAGTTCGCGGCGGTCGGCGAGTCGGGCCGGGAGCTCGGTGGGGGGTGCGAGCGTGGGGAGTAAGTTTAGCTTGAAGGGGCCGTTGGGGTTTTTGAAGGGGGCGATTCATTGAATTTTTTTTTCTTGTTTTGTTCTTCTTCAAGCTCTCTCTTGATGCCTCTTTCACATTCCCACTTATCACTCGTCTGAGTCTATGATGCAGAACGATATCCATCGTTGAATTCTTTTTCCTTATATCTGTCTACTATCTTACAATGGGCGGCCTGTCGCTGGCAAAAAGTTGGAACGCCGGTTTGTAGAGGCATGCTAATGGGGGAGCGAGCTATGAAGATTGGGGGTTTGGGCGGTCAATGTGTCTGCATGAGCAAGTTGGATATGTGTGGAGGCCGATGTTTGGATGAGTTCTGTTTTTCCCGTACTATACCCCCTCCGTGTATATCATCATCTAGTTATTAGTCCATCATCTATTAGTCGTAGTCGTAATACCCTGCTTTATGTCGTGGCACACTAACGATTTTCCTCAACACACAACTGACCCGGGCATTTCACTCTTCCTCATTGTCGGCGCATTTTCAAATTCGCCGATGCACAGCATGAGTCGAGTCTCACTCGTGGTCAGCGATCGGAATCTCCAGTCGCACTGTTATCAAATAATCAAACTCGGTCCCCGCTTGGGGCCCCCTATCTGTCTGCTGGGCCCGGAAGGCTCCACGATCAGAACGATCGGCACGCAGGATCGATCTCTACCCCACGCCCCAACCCACGGGCTCCGATCCGAGACACCATCTCACATGACAAAAAGCAGATCGGTATCTGCCAGCAATGGAAATTACGGCGGTCAGCTGGGCCGAAGTTGCATTCGCGGAAATGAAATTCAAACGGGAATAATACGCACCGAGCGGGTGGCTGCACGACAGCTGCGGCTTCTGGGTGTACTTGGTCTCCAGCACGTCACGGATGCTGTTGAGCAGCTGGACGTAGCTCTGCTGTGGGTTCTGCTTGAGCGCCGAGATGAAAGCCCACGACATGGCGCCGGTGGCTTGCGATGCGATGGTAGCGTCGGCGCTATTAGATATGAGGTCAGCACTTATCAATACAAAGTTATCAACTTCCCCTCAAGCCCCCCCCCCCCCCGCTAAAAAGCTCGGGGGATATATAAAGGAGTGAGTACGCACGATGTCTGATCGTCCTTGCTGCCACTCCACATGATCACGTCCGCGGGCGACGTCTTAATGCGCTTCGTCTGCTCGTAAGCGTCGTTTCCGCGGAAAGGGGTTTTGGGAAAACCCAAAAACGTGCTGGCGACGCCGCCCATGTCGCCCGCGGGCGTACGCGCCGACGGGCTCTCAGCAAGGGCCTGGGCCGGGCTCCTTGGCGAAGGTGGGCTCCCTGAGCACGCCCTTGGTGCTGTACATGTAGGGGAAGGTCATGACCGAAGCTGAATGGCAGCTGTCCAAGATGGGCGTCAGACGCACACCGGGCTGCAGCGGCTTGACCACGACTTCGTGGGATCTGGGTCGTCGACGATGTGGCCGGCCGTTTTGGAAGTCGACCGGGGTAGATGACCTCGTCGTAGGCCGTCGTCCTTCGTCGCCGTCCAAGGTCCTCAGTCTGGGCCGCCGTGGACCCGAATAGTGCAGAAACAGGGCGTCATTGGGCTGGGCACCGCCCACCAACCACGCCATGGCGGCGGAGGATGTTTCTCCTTGGTCGGCTGCATGACCGGGTTCTGGGCATCATCGGTCAGAGTCACCATGTCCTCGCGCTTGTAGCCGTGGTTCTCCATCAGGTACGCCGACAAGTTCTTAACATCGTTGATGCACCCGCGGAGCTCGCCGTTCTGGCCAAAGTAATTGATGCCGATCAGCAGGGCCCGACGGCGACCCGTGCAGTTGGAGTACTGGAAAGTGTAACCTTGCGGCGCTCCGTGGCCGAACTCCTGGGAGCCCGACGGCGGGGGCGGGGCAGCGCGCGATGGGCCGGAGCCTCCGTATCCCGGCCCGTGGGCGATGGGGTAGCCGTACGCATCATAGCCCTGCGGCGGGGGGCCTTGGGGTCGCTGATGCTGCGGTTGGTGGTACTGCTGGTGTTGGGGGGGGAGGGTGACCGTAACCCTGCTGCTGCTGGTATTGCTGGTGGTGCTGTTGTTGCGGAGGCGGGTACTGTCCATAGCCTTGCTGCGGCGGTGGTTGACCATAACCGTGTTGAGGCGGAGGTTGGCCATATTGTCCTTGTCCATAGCCGCCGCCCCCATACTGCTGGGGAGGGGGTTGATGGTGGCCCGACCCGGAGCCAGGTCCGTAACCTTGACCAGGGTATCCGTAGGACATGCTGCAATGACCGGGAAAAGTGGTGAAATATTGAAAATAATTAAAATTCGAGGGCCACTCGGGGGCTTTGTTCACAAAATCTATTCGTTGAGCAGTGTTGATTACGACGGTGGGCAGGCTGCCTCAAGTCATGCAAAGTGAAGTCGGGCTGAGATCGGGTCGGTCTCTTCTCAGCGGGAGGCGGCAGAGCGGCCGACGCGGGGCAAATACTGCGGGGCCAGTGTTTTGGCGGGAGAGCGGCTGTCGGTCGGCGCGGTCAGCGTGCGTCTGACGTTGGTGGGGCGCAGGAGCTGAAAAGGTGGAAATGGGACGGAAATGGGAGCGAAACCTGGACCCTGAGACTCTGGGACCCTGAAAAAGGCATGTAGGTCGCTCGCCATCAGATGCCAAGAGCCTCCGCGCTTCTTCCCCTCGGGTGTTTCGGCCTGTCGTGCCTGCTCAAACAACGGGCATTCCACCTGCCACTCCATTTCTCTTCCAAGCGCTCGTTGCTTGGCTGCATGGCTTGCGTGCGCGGCAAAGAGGGAGCATGCCACTAGATTCTTTGACCCGCAACCTAGCGGGCCGTCGTGATACGACCGCGGCTTCGCGGGGTGTCCCGGGTGCTCTTGGTAGTGGGGGTGAACCCCTCCAACTTTCCGCTCCATCTCCCATTTTGCTGGGAGGGAGCCAACAAGGGAGCCAGCACCCAGTCATAAAATCAGAAGCCACTTCTCGATTTAAAATATTCAGCTCCGGTTTCGTCATCTGAGACAATTTTACCAGTTCTTTTTTATTTTTTGAGCTACGGTTATACCTGCAGCGCTGAATGGCCTTCTTCAAAAAGTTTACCGACGGCATCGCCGATGACCTTGGCCGCTTGGGCCTCGGAGACAACAAAAACGACCGCAAGGATGATGCCTCCTCGTCCAACCGCGATGGCGTAAATCCGTATCCTCCCCATCCAATACCCGCCCCAGGGTTCCCCGGGATACGGTCAGTCCAGCCCTCAGCCCTACTCAGGCTCGGGTCACTACCAATCCCCTCCCCCGCCCCAGGGCGATCCCTACTCGCATCCGCCGCCTCACCAGTCGAACTACTCCTCGCCACCGCCCCAGACCCCTTACGCCTACCCTCCCGAGGCCGGGCCCCGGCCCCCGCCGCCGTACACTCCGCCGGCTGACAAGCCCCCGATTCCCTCGGGCTGGACTCCGCGCTGGGATGACCATTACCAGCGCTGGTATTGTGAGTTTACCACTTTCGTGGGCAATGCCTGTCATGCACCAAGTCGCCTAACACACATCACAGATGTAGAGGAGTCGAGCGGACGCTCCCAGTGGGAAGTTCCCGGCTACGATCACTCCTCCCACCGTCCCCACGGGGATGAGAGTCGTGGTCACGATACCCCGGGTGGTGGCTACTTCCCCCACGGTGCCCCCACTCCCGGCGTTCCCACCCCGGGCTATGGTAGTCCGTATGGTGCCCCTCAGGCTAGCCCCGGTGGACAGCCTGGTTATGGCGGCCTCCCCGGCTACGGCCAACCTAGCCCTTATGGCGGCGGATACGCCAGCCCCCAGCCGGGTCACGATGACCAGCGCGGTAGCCACAAGGAGAAAAAGAGCCACAGCGGCATGATGATGGGCGCTGCCGGTGGCCTCGCCGTCGGTGCCATTGCCGGTGCCGTGATCGTCTCACCAACTCGGTACGTCATCATCCTCCTTCCCTGAAGCCCAAAACAAGTCCACCTACTAACCCTCCCCCTTCCCCCCCAGGCGACGATTCCTCAGACGACGAGCGCCACAGCAGCAGCCAGCAAGCCGCGTACGCCGCCGCTCCTGCCGCGGCCGCCTACGCGCCCCCGCCGGAGCCGGCCCAGGAGCCGGCGCCGACCACCATCGTCTACGAGACCAACAACTACTACTACAACGAGCCGCCTCCTCCGGCGCCGCCCGCCGACGACGAGTTCGAGCGCGGCGTCATCCCCACGCACAACGCCTACGGCGAGGAGATCGACGGCAGCGACCGCGAGTCCCTGCGCGAGGCCCGCGACGACTACGAGGAGGCCCTCGAGGCCGCTGCCAGCTCCTCCGCCAGCAGCAGCGAGCAGGAGGAGCTGGAGGAGGCCCGCGAGGAGTACGAGGAGGAGTATGAGGAGGCGTATTACGAGGAGTAAACCCGAGCGTGGTTTGTGGTCTCGGACTGCGGAATATCATAGCGTAGCGTTGATGTAGGCGTTTGTACGCGCAAATCATCTATCCACATGCCGAGGTGCATTGAAAACTGGGGCTGGCTTGAGCAGAGTTGGACCCTCATATCCAGGCGGTCATTTAGCAAGATACAAGATACTTCAACCAACGTGCCCCGGTGCAAGTTGAGGGGCACTGGGTTTGGTTTGGAGCCCCAGGTGGCGCTGAGTCCCACTCGGGCGCTCCGGGTGTTTGAATGATAGTGACCCACGCTTTCCATTCCCCAAGGAATTGTTGATCCTGCTCATGCCGCTTGGTATGGAGCCGGATAAAGAACTGCTGCCCTGGCACGTCTGGGCATGCGGGTAAAGGAAAAGCGACGTGGCTCTCCCTCTCGCGACTCAGAATGGGCTCATGCCCGATGGTACATTACCGCCCCATGCCGAGACTGAAAAGCCTTTGACGGCTTACGCTTTGAGCGAATTTATCCCGGCTTGAGCAAAAAGAGCAGCTCCAGGCGAGTGAGCAGGAGGTTGACGGTACGTTGCCGGCTTAGAGCACCTAACCGGTTCGATCCACAGCCCGCTCCTTCCCTCGAGCTAGTACCCAACCGCTCTTGCCTTCGAGAGCAGTCACTCTACGGCTTAGAGGAAGGAACGGCTTCAACAAATAAGCCGCTTAAGGTCGTAAGCCGAAGAGAGAGCACTCGCTGCTGTGAGCGAATATGTCCCGGCTCGTGGATACCCGCCTTGCACCGCTAAGTACCTGAACAGAAAAAAGCTGAACTCCAAGTGTCTTAGATGCCGACGATGAAACATAGGACGAGAGGAACAAAATAAACCTCGTATTTGGGAGCCCAAATTTATTTGACTAGGTTTTTTTTATTTGATTATTCGATTTCTTTTGCTCGGTTTTCTCTACCTTTTCTCTTTTCTTGATTTTCTTTTCTTTTTTCTTTCTTTTCTTTCCCTTGTTTAAGCTTCTTTCCTTTTCGAGTTCGGCCTTTTTTCGCCAAAGGGTGGCTCAACATGAACTCAAGGCAATATCCGCAATGTACATCACTAGGATTGGTATGCTCCGGGGAGCGGGAGATGCGTTCCGGTTCCACGCCTCCGTAATCAAATCGAAACTCTAACGGATAATCACACGTGGCAAGGGCCACGACTTGTACGGGTATTATCGCTATTGTATGGATTTGTGGCTACTCAACGTCCGCTTGCAACCTTCGCTTTTAGTGGCAACGACTGGATAGGCCACAAGACTTTTGTCTACCACAGCATCACAGTTGTCGGCTATTAGCTAGGGATCGTACAATGGCCGCACACAGTCAGGCACTCCACGGCCATGACCATGGGCACACACATGGACACGGACACGCGCACGAACACTGCCTGAAGATGGCGCGGCGAGAAGACGGCACGCCGTGGTGGGCAGATTTCCCCGAGCCAATATCAACCGCAACCCGTGTCGAGCCGCAAGAGGTCTTCCGGCTACTTGATGGCCGGGGGCATTTTGACAACAAGCAGCGAGACGTCTTGTTGGTGGACGCACGCCGCTCCGACTGCACGGGAGGAATCGTGCGTGGGGCCATGAATTTACCAGCCCACAGCTTCTACCCGACGCGTGAAACTTTGTATGACCTGTGCAAGCAGGCGGGTATCCGGAG